CTACTAAAATCATCAGTAAAAGTCACATAATACCGATTAGCATCCCTTGTGGCGGTTTTGAATGGCCCACATACATCAGTATGTATTAGGTCCAACAAACCCTCACCCCTCTCATAAGTTCCAGTGAAGGGTGATTTTGTCATTTTTCCAAGCAGACAAGATTCACAATTATCATCTGATTTAAGGTCAAATGATTCCAAGACTCCACTCTTTTGGAGTTGGCCTATGCGTTTCTTGTTTACATGTCCAAGACGACAATGCCACAATGATGCTTTATCTAGGCTAGTAGAAGAATCAATATACAACACATTATTTCCTAAGTTGTCAACAATCGACACAGTTTCATACACACCATCACAAGGTAATGATTTAAAATAAAACACATTATTAAAGAAAGCATTAATACCACCACATTCATTATCAAACGAAAAGGTAAAACCTTGTTTGTACAAAGCATGAAAAGAAATAATATTCCTCGCCATTTCAGACGAGTACACACATTTATTCAAATCTAATTTTAACCCATTATTAAGCAACAAAGTATAAACTCCAATCTTGGAAACAGTGAAGCCTTCCTATTCCCCATGATTAAGTTTATCTTCCCGTGCTCCACATCCTCACTTCTTCTTAGGCCCTGCAAATCAGAACATATGTGAATACCACATCCTGTATCAAGCACCCAAGAGTTAGAGTATGTTGAGTAATTAGACAATATAGTGTAAATACCTGCATAGGTGGGTTTCACTTTCCCATCCTTTAGATCCTGCAAGTACTTAGAGCAGTTTCGCTTCCAGTGTGCCTTTTCATGGCAATAAAAGCATTCAGCATCCTTGGGAATGGCAGAAGGAGTGGTAGAACCGTTCTTGGTCTTTGATGAGGAGCCTTCAAGAGACTTTCCCTTGGTACCCTTCGAAGGGTGCTTCCTCTTCCTCCCTTTGCCTTGCCCAATAGCTAAAACAGGGGTAGATGTTGGAGTAGGAGTAGTAGAGGTAACAACCGCTTTACCCTTAAGACCGGTTTCAGCGGTCTTCAAGAGTCCTTGAAGCTTGCTGAGGGTAACTTCCTCCTTGTTCATATGATATGTCATTCGAAAATGATCATAACAAGAAGGCAAGGAGTGCAAAATGATGTCAATTGCCAACTCCTCGGGGATGTTAACATTCAGCTTCAGCAAACGGTCCACACACCTTTGCATCTTTTGCATGTTTGCCCGTGACGGATTCACCATCCTTCATGCGGGTAGTTATTATGGAGGAGATTATTTCATACCGCTCCTGACGAGCACTCTGATGGTACCTTTCCATCAGGTCTTGGTGCATCTCAAAAGGGTAGAAATCTTCATACGACTTTTGGAGCTCGACTATCATCGTGGCCATCATGATACATGCCACCTTAGTAGCATCTCTCTCATGAGTCCTGAATTCAGCGATCTCCTTAGGAGTAGCAGTAGACTCATCAAGTTCTTTTAACTCCTTATCGAGGACATATTCCTTGTCCTCGTAACGAGTAACCATCCTGATGTTCCTAATCCAATCCATGAAGTTGGAACCATCAAAGATGACCCTCCCACAAAGATTCATGAGAGAGAAAGAACCAATTGGGTTAGAGACTGAAGCATTAGTGTTGGAAGACATCTGAAAGAAGAAAGTAAGTTTAGATTAGATATATATGATCCTTAATAAGACACCCAAATGTAATATTAAGGCTAGGATCCAATCACAATATATTACACTTAGAAGAGGGATGCCGTAATCTAAGTAATAATATATTTGAAAGGTAGGTGAATGACGATTCACCAATTTCCACCATGAAAACGAAATGATTTATTAGGTTTAATTGGATTTGAAATTCCTAGATTCTTTTGAGATTCATTGAACTTTTCAATGGCATGTTTCAATCTCGATTGTGCCCTTCAAGTTTGGTGACTGGGATGCCGAGGATCACAAAACAAGGTGTGAATAACCATGCTAATTCACTTGGTACTCTTAATATTATCACCTAATCAATGTGCCGGTTAACCACACACGCTCCATTGATCTATGACAAACATTAAGTCACCCTTCGTGATCCTTACTAGTCCTAGTTAGTGTGACGGTTAACCACACACGCTCCACCAACGACTTGGTAAGGTACAAAGTGTGAATTCCATGGACTAGCACCATGTTCACATTTTCCTAAAATAACTAAGATTGGGAATTAAAAGAGTTTAGTTATTTTATAATATTCATTATACTTTTAATGAGGATTTAAAGTCATTGTTCTACCCGTTCGGCTAACGACCCTCCACCGATCAAGCAAGCGGTAGGTGAGAGTATACACCCATTAAGTCGCCATTTTATAGGCAACAACCTTATACCCACCTTATAGACCGGCTTCGTGAATGAGGCCTACTAACGGTAAAACGACTTATTCTTATACATATATATAATAATTAACCATTAATGTTATAAATAGTATAAGGGTTGAATTTTAACTATTAAAACTCTAAGGTTTGGAATTAAAGTTTATTAAAGTGTGTGAAACTTTAAAAATTCCAAAACTTGAGGGCAAGTTTTGTAACTTTGCAAAACTCTTCATTTCATAACTTATGAATTAAAGATTCATAAAAATGAAGACTCTTCATTTTCATGTAACTTATGTGTTTTAAGTGTGTGTTAAATGAAAGTGACCTTTGGTAATCCATAACTTGAGGACAAATTATGGACTCCATTAAAACACATAAATGATAAAGAATTAATCCTAAACAATTCAGCAAATAATTCCTATCATTTTCTAAATTCATAAGAACATGAACATGATCATCAAAAATTCAAGAATTATATGAACACATAAAATCATGGAATTTTGATATATGCTATTGTAAATGGATTAGAACAACCATTACACCAACTAAAATAAGTTTTATAACACCAAAACAATTTAGGGTAATGTTTCTAGTCCATTTCCAGCAGCAAAAGTCGAGAATCTGCACTCTTTCGATCCTACTCGTCGAGTGGATGAACTGACTCGTCGAGTAGGTTGAAGTTTTCCTTGGACTCGTCGAGTCCCCCCAATGGACTCGGCGAGTCCACCATGCAGACAACAACGATTTCGACTTTTTTCACTATTTTGCATCAAGTATCAAACAAGCAAGCCTAGGCTCTGATACCACTGTTGGGTTTTGAGCAATCTAACACTTCCTAAGTGTGCATGCAACCCTAATAAACCTTGGATCTATGTTTGTCTAAATACATGCAAAATAATAATTTTCCAAGGTTTATAACCTATCTAACATGGCATGGGGAACATTTCAACATAAAAGAGTTAGAAGAGATTACATACCTTTTGGTGAGTTTGGTTCTAAGGAGTTTGAGGGCCAAGCACCAATAGTGTGAATGCCTCAAATGGAATCACAAACACCACAAACTCTTGGAAAACTTTGAGAGAGTATACACCTTGTATAAAATCGGCCACACACATGCACACACACACTAGTTCACTAGTTTTCTCTTAGGCTCCATTTCATGCTCCATAAGCATGCTTATATAGTGTGCATGGTTAGGGTGAAACCCTAATAACCCATGTCTTTTCCTTTTCCAAGGATCCATGGGTTAAAAGCTCCATGGATCATCCATGGACTTCCACATAAGCCTAGCCCATTAACAAATGAGTATTAGCCCACACTATATAAAACAAATAGCCCATAATTTAATTAGTCTTCCTTTTAATCTCTAAATTAATTTAAGACTAAAACTAATTAAATAACGTAACTTCATATTAATATATTATAACTCATAATATATTAATAAACATATGTGTATAACTCTCATAAAATTATCCATAATAGTTTGGATGAGATGCAACCCAAATGGACCATGCCGGTCGGGTCAAGTATATACCAAATAAGTTATGGACTTAGACACCTTATCCAACAAGAACTCGGCGAGTCTGTGAAGGGACTCGACGAGTAGTCTCTTGTTATCACAATTATTAGTACCAAATGAGCTCGGCGAGTCAGGAGGATAACTCAGCGAGTTGAGTTAACTCAGATTATTGACATTGACTTTGACTGAGCGGTTACTTTGAATTGGACATTGAAATTGACCAAGGTTGACTCGTGAAGGGGGCTTGAAGTAAGGAATCGTATCTAAGGGGTTGTTTTGTCTAGGGCGTGAGTAGAGCCAGTTTCTAGAGTAAAGACATTCAGCTAATTCTCCTGACATTTGAGGTGAGTTTTCGTCCAGTAGTGAACATGTCGAAGGAACCAAGGTCGGTCCGTTTATGTATGTTAGTATGTTCCAGACTAAGGTAAGATGCCAGGCTGGGCCCGATGTAGGATTTTATGTTTTCCAGGTCTCGACCCATTGTTGGGCGGTACCCAAAAGAATGTTAGTATGATCGATGTCTTTGTGATTCTTGCATGTGTTTGTATCCGTATGTTTCCATACTATGGTCTAATGTGGGGGTGGTTCTCGAGGAATATTTGTATGCCTTCTGGATTTCGGTCCGATGTCAGCGGGGCCTAAGGAACGTTTTTATGATTATGATTAGGTGGTTATTATCATGTTATGTGCATTAGTAGTTATCCTCATATGTATGTTGAGTTTTGCTCGATGCCAGATGCGGTCTGATGCTTGGCGGGGCCTGATGTCTGGCAGTGCCCAACGTAGCATAGCTGGGCCCAATGTATGTATATGCGATTATATGATTACGTGTATGGTATGTGGTAGTTTGGGGAGACTCACTAAGCTTTGTGCTTACAATTTTAGTTTTGGTTTCAGGAATTTTTGGTAACAAAGGGAAGAGCCTGGGATGACTGCATTGCACACACCACAACTTATACCTTGGGAGGATTCATTCTGATGTTTTGACATATGATTTTGATATATTGACAGATGCTACGATATTTTTAAGATACACGATTTATGAATTTTATATGATGAATGATACTTATGGTTTTTACTAATGATTTAAAATGAAAATTTTGGATCGTATTCTTGGGATGCTTTACTTGTGATTATATGTTCACGATCACGGTTAAGAAGCACTTGTCTGAAAAGCTTTCCCCGATGTTCACAATGCTCAATAGGTTGGAAGGTGTTTTGGAGTCGATATCAATTCTAAAAGAAGGAGGAGAAAATTTAAAGCAATATAAGAAGGGAAACCCCAATGGAACTGACAAGCCCACTATTAAGCCAAAGAAAGAAAATGAACCAAAGGATAATGTAGCTTCAGATTCGAAAGGAAAAGAGAATTTTAATGAAGAACCAATCATTGACAACAACGAAGTAGAAGAGCCAGATGAGCACTAGCATAAAATACGCAGTGATCGTGAAGCTCAAATGGATGAACACCAATGTATCATTCGTAAGGAAAAGGAAAAAGAAAGGGCTAAACATGAAGCTCAAGTCACACTGGAAAGGAGAAAGATTTTGTTTCCAGTATGTACTTTGTAGCGAATCGTGAGTGAGGCTTTGGATATGCCGAGCCTGTATTGGTTAGAACCAGTTGTGTCTTTTGATCTGCAAAATACATAAGATTCGCAACTGGATCTTCCAATCACCCCAAACGCCTTCAAATTTCGTAGATTTATTAAAGTCACGAATGTCCCTCCAATTGATAGCGGTGCAGAACATCTGCTTTTCTCGTTCTACCTGAAGCACATGAAGTCGCTGCACGAAACTTGGAGTGAAAACTAGATTACTACTGTGAAGGTTATTGGTCCCATCGAAACTGATAGCTTCACGAATGCACAATTTAAGGTTGTTAAAGGTTTAACGAGTTAGGTGTATGAATTCACTCTAGCTCATCTACCCTGCCTGAACCCGTGTGATTTGATCATGTTGTACAACATGTTGTTGAGGCATGAACATAAGTACGAACCTGTAGCTGCTCATCTCAAATGATCGCTAGTTTCGTACATTTAGGATATTTGGAAAATGGATGTTGAGATATCAGTTGTACTGTGAAATAAGCCAACTATACATCCGAAGGAAGCTCCTGAAGGTTTTGATAGAATGAAACCAGGGAAGATACCAAAGGATGGATGGTGTGTGGGTTTTCAAATGATAGACAGAACTGATGCAAACTTTCACAAAGTTTGTTTCTTTCTCAATGATAAACATCTTTTTCACCACTTCGTGCCTAGAGTATATTTTGGACTTCATATGTAAATACAGAAGGAACAGCAAAAAGCGACAAGTAGTACGTCCAAATTTGCAAAGCTATGCTCAGTGTAATTCGAAAACTATTTGAAGTGTAGAAGCAGACTCCATAGTGAAGGTCTGCTGCCTCAATCGATGCAAACGGGGAGATTTTTAGAGTTTAAAGAGTTGCGTAATTATGGGATTTTATTTAGTATATTACGTATCTAGGTTGGGTCTATCCACCCGTTATTTATTAATTAGGGTTTATCTATTTAAGGTTCATGCATGCACTAGTTTTTGAAAGTCGTATAATCACAGTGTAAACCCAACATGCTTTTACAGTATCCAATCTTAATCGAGCTCTTCTAAGGCTGTGATATTTAACCATACGACATATACGATATTCATTCTATGTGTTAATCATTCTTTTACCTATTTGAATCTATCGATCATTAGAGGTTTAATCTTAAAAGAAACAACTTCATTAGAATACTCCCTAGGCCATCCTAGGGTTCCAAACTTCTCTGCCATCAGTTGCTGAAGAACTCTTTACAATGTCAAATAGCTATTCCAACAATACAATCACATCCAACAAATCTCAGATAATCATTCAAGTAACAGACTCATCTGTACAATGGTTGGACTCAGATGAGAGCTGCGCAACAGTGTCAAATACGTCACTTTGAGATTGTCCAACCTTTCTCACATATTCACTTAATAGCTAACTTACATCACTCATGAGTTCCACAAAGCACAAAGCAAGAAGCATTCATGCAGAGGAGCCGACTGGAACTAAAATACAATACAATCTAACAAACCCTCTTACGAAATCCTCGATCTCAATTTCCCAACACCACAGTGCACCTTCACCGTATGCCCACTCTATCAAGAGTTTATGATCATTCCTTGTGCTGACCCGCTACGAATTGAGCCCCTTCTAAGGAAACCACCGCCTCCTTAACCAATAACGTGACTTGTTGGCTGATCCCATACTACTCACCATACCACTAATTTCCACAAGACTCTCCATTGGTGCCAGGAGACTATCACATGAATACAATCATATGGCCCAAAATTTCAACAATCATAGGCTAAAATATTTAATCCCATAACGGTTGGACTCATAGAAGAGTTGCACAGCCGAGCCAAACCCCTCAGCCTAAGATTCTTTATAACATGTAGAACGTGATTTAGCGTATGCACTCAATAGTCAGATCACACATGAAAGAGTCACACAACATCCAAATAAGGGAACTCTAAATGAACTAAGGCATAACATAATCAGGCAATTCCTAAAGATCCCTAACCTATCACTAGCGTGATGTTCTAACATATCACAATATCAAATAACAGTTTGACATTTTTAGGTCTACTTATTAGCTCCGGCTGATTGTACACATTGCATCCTCCTTAAGTATTTTGAAAAACATTTAAAACAAAAGCATTTTTATAAATCTTCTACCTTAGTTTGAGACTGGTTTCACTCGAGTGTTCCTCCAATTCACTCAAACCAAGGCACTGATACCAACTTGTAACATCTATAAAATTTCTTAAAATTTAAACTTTTCAAATAACCCTTTTCTATAGAAGTGTTTACAAAGAAATGTTATCCCAAAACATCATTTAAAAATCAGTATATTTTTCAACATAGTTTTCAAAACATTCACATTATCAGATTTTCCCAGAAATCATAAGTCCAAAATGTGAGGATGTACACGCCTTCACCTTGCCACGACTCACTAAAGTACCTAAAACCATAAAACAAAACTATAAGCACGAAGCTTAGTGAGTTCCCCCAAAGTACCAACACCCACCCAGATAACATATACAAATAACATCATGCATACATAGCCTTCAACATATATGGAATGCTTCACCGAGTCTATATCCTGTCTGGACCGCCTCACTGGACCTTCAGCCTATCTGGACTGTTCTCCGAGCCTTCGGCCTGACTGGTCCACCTCACAGGCCTTCAGTCTATTCGGGCCACCCTGGCTTTGTTGGTCTTCAGCACAAAGTAGGTCGACCTCAACTCAACCACACATAAAAACCATGTCGACATATACATAACAGATAAGCATACATATAATGTACCGATATAAACATTACCAGGTTTGTTGACCGGAAACACAAAGCAGTACATTCTTAACCTAACCTCACTACATCAACACATTCAACTTGAAAACATATAGCCAGAATCGATATCAGGCATATATAACACATAACTAAGCATAACAACATCCTATCTACCAGGATACATATCATCACAACATAGCAGCATCCTACCTACCAGGGTACCAATCTAATAGATCATAACAATGCAATAGCATGCATAACAATATATCAATCCAATGGGAAAATATTGGTGCCTTCGACCATCAACTACAGTGAGGACTACTCACCTCGAATGTAGAAGCTCCCTGAAAGAAAATCCCTAGTTGCTTCCCTGCTAGCTTCCCAAGCTATCAATACCAACAACACACCTAATTAGCAATTCGGTTCCATGCTATAATCCATAATCCATACTTGGGGTAAAATAACAATTTTACCCCTGACCCAACATGAACCAAAACTTAGGCCCCAAACCAAAAGATCCACAGAGGCCCACTAATGACCCAATTTTCCAAATTTCGCCCAACCCTATATAGGTCTTACCCTAATCCCATAATTTCCTTATTACAATTCAGATTACCATCAAGTACCATTGGGACGAACATGGTCAAAGACATATATCAAAAGTCAAATTCAACGGTCCAAGCGGACCCAACTTGCCGAGTTGTCCTTAAATTTGTCGAGTTTCTCCATCAATTTGAACAGATCGGGAAAAACCAAGCAAAATCTCCATGTTTATCCAACAAACTCACTGAGTTCACATGAAACTCACCTCTTAATATATTAAGCACTTAATCCATAAGGACATGACTTTAAAACATAGATCTAACTTTCTTGAGTTGGAAAACCACACAAAGTTGCCAACTTTACGTTCATGCTTGTCTAAATGAAGCTCTTAAGCTTAGAATGGACTTAAATTGACTTAATTCATGTATGGCACCAAAATCCTCATAAATTTTGCATCTTTAAGATCAAGGGTACCAAAACCAACTCAGATATGAAAGAACAACCCTTTAAATGACTTCACTCCATCATCATCCCCAAATAGAGGCCAAAAAGAGGAAATCTAATCATCTACAAGTAAAGGTATGAACTGGATACCTTAAAGTGACTTCAAGAAATGGAGTGATTTTGGATCCAATCCTTCCTTCTCTAAGCCAGAATCTTCAAGATCTTCTAATTCTTAATAATGCACAACATAAGCACCAAACTGCCTTTCAAGGTTCCAAAAACTTGACAATGGAGGCTACAGTTCAATATAGCATTTGGACACCAATGGAGGCTGATAAGGAGGCCAGAAGAAAGACTTAAGGACTTTAAATAGGGTGCAAGGCCCTAAAAAATTAAGGTTTCCTTCCAAGCTACCAACTTGTCAAGTTGAGGCTCCTCAACTCGTCGAGTTGTTTCATTAAACCCACACAATCCTTCCATATTCAACATGACAAATTGGTCCCTATAACTTGTTGAGTTGAACAAAAAATAGGATTAGTCTAAAAAATTTCTCTTCAAGATTTCGGATGTTACACGGGAATTCGAAAATGCAAAGCCCCCGGTGTTTGATGGGTTTCAGGATCCGATCATTTCCATGAAGTGGTTGTTAGATGATGAGGGATGTTTATTTACATGCTCTTGTCCAACTGAATCGAACGTCAAGTGCGCTCTGAACCTTCCTCAGTTTTGAGCGAAGGATTGGTAGAGGCTAATTACTAGTTTATACATCCTAAAGAAGTAAGCTGCAATATCATTGGGGTAGTTCTTTGAGATGTTCCGCTCGAGTTAAGTTCCATTAGTGCACCGGGAGAGGTTGGCCCATGAGTATTTGGACCTGAGACTGGGGACCGAGTTGGTGACAGATATCACCAATATGTTTACGTAGAGAGATATGTTTTGCCCAAAGTTTTCTGATTCTGATCAAGCTTAGATGACTCGGTACTTGAGCATGCTCAAGATAGATATCCGACAGTTCGTTCTTGCTCAACGCTATGGATTACTCCTTGATTTACAGAAGGTCGTGAGGCTACACGAGATTTATATGGAGCTCCATACAAGGGAGA